TGCATGATCTCCAAGGCTGATAAGACTCTTCAACACATTGGTACTTCACTGCCCAGGTCCAGATTCTGGATGTCCCTGGTGAATTGAAGGTCGGTTACTCTCCCATCGCCTTCGTCCGTACTGGCCGTTCCGCTTGCAAGCTTACCAAGATCAACTGGAAGGTCGGCAAGGAGACCGGTGGTAAGAAAATGGAGGATCCCCACTCCTTGAAGTCTAATGAGATGGCCGAGGTCGTCTTCGAACCTCTTCAGCATCTCGTGGTTGATACCTTCAAGCATTGTGAGGGTCTCTCTCGCGTTGCCCTTATGGAAGGTAATGGTGTTGTTATGCTCGGTAAGTGTGTTGCCACAACCCCTAAGGAGGTCAAATAATTGTCAAGAGGTTTCTTATGTTGTTTGGTATACCTTCTACCGATCGTTGTGCATTCGTGAGCATCCAACTGTTGTGTTGTTAGTAAGTGGAAAGTTCAGAATAACTGGTTTATTCGGTGGGAGGCAATTTGCCTGTGAACTACCCATGAGAGGATTATATCAGAAGTCGTTCAGGTGGATGGGGCAGTTGGCTCAGTTACAAAATAGCAAAGGAGCAAATAGCAAAAAAGTGCCAATTAGCTGGAATGTATATTCCCTGCGGCTTTTGCTGTTGTGCTAGTGTGTAAAAACGCTATGGCTGATATACAGAAGAGCAAAGTAGCAAAATTCACTTTACAAACACGCAAATTTGCCGTTTTGTATAACAGAAACTGCTCGGATGAATATCGTTTGCTCGTTTATATTTCAGAATATTGCTAGAATATATAAAAGTTGCCGCTATGTGAAGTGCTACTATGTAACAAAATTGAGCAATTTTGCTCAAAGAAGGGGCAAACCTATAAATTGCTCCTTCTACTATTGAGCAAATTGCTACTTTTCAGAGGAGCAATTTGCCGCTTTACGAATGGGCAACCCCGCAATGGAGCAAATTTTTGCTGTTCTACAATCGGAAGAAGAAACTGAAATTTCGCACGCGAGATTCGAGCCTTGGTGGGTTGTTGGTGATTGTGTTGAGCATTGCATTATAGTTTCGAAGTCTCTGAGTGGTGACTCTTCTGTATACTTCCTTGGTTCTGTCGATATAGATAAGTATAGTTGCAGCACTGGGAGAATGATGGATGGACTATTGTAAGTGGTAGTAGGTCGTTAGTAAAGACTTACATTCGTTAAGGGCTCGTTGGATTTTCATATTTTCCACAACATTGCAGTTCGCACATGGTCACAGAAGGACGAGGGAGAGGATTTGTGTTTACATGGTAGTTCGTATTGGGCGGAATCACTCGTACTGAGTGATCCGAGATCACTTATTTAGATCAGCATGGATCACTCATCTGCAGTGCAGTGCTGTACTGCAGGCACCCCAGTGGTGCCCATGCGAGATGTCGTGGCTTTCATACACGCATCCTGATCCCTACATGGCCTATTGCATGCGAACCAATATGCTCTTCGGTAGTCTGAGCAATTTGCTCAGAGCAAATACTGGTCATTGCAGAAAGATGCCCCTCGCGAACATCGAAACTATCGAGGAAAGAGGCAGGCTGGCTTAGCAGTGCTAAGTTAGCACTCCGCATCTACCCGGCGCTGAACAAGTTCTCCCGAGGTACCAGATGTGATGAGATAGTGCGAGAGAACTCGCCTAACAACAATGCTATTTCATTGGTGGAGGAGTATGAGAGCCACGCGGCAAAAGAATTGCAGCAGAAGCGGTCGAAAGAGGACGAGCGTGAGGAATCGAAGTAGTTTCTCCCATCACTGGAGACTAGCGACCATGTACGCACTCGCAGTAAGGTAGGCACCTCAGTGGTGCTCAGCTGTCGTAGTTGCTACAAGTAGCTGTCTCGGTGATTGGTAGAGAAAAATTTGGACGTTTCTCAATATGGTTCGCTTGTAACCCTTAATAGTATCTCTATGAAGGCCCTCTAGTGGTGCCCGGGAGTGAATATTGTGTGCGGGGGGCTGTAGAGTTCATAATCAGTAATTTAGTCCAAGTTGCGTTTCCCCTGTACAATCCTTCGACAACTCTGCAAAGTCTATAACAATAGCTCCACGAAGACGCTCCGATGAGTGCCACTGCCCATGAGCAAATGTTTCTCGTGCAGAATGTCAAAGTTGCCCATAATACTTACGTAATGCCTACTTGAGGGTTTAACTTCTGGGTATTGTTGAGTCGTCAATACGTACAATCGTAACAAACCATGAGACACAACTGATGCGATGCTAAAAGAGAGAGGATATTCTAAGATGGGGCTCACTTTAACTGTTATCTCATCTGATTCAATCGCGACGTGCAAGAGCAATCATGTGTTTGGTATTCAGCATTGATCATAACTCGCGCTGTCTTCGGAGTGAATGATATATCTCACACGGGTGGCAAATCTGTACGAAAATTATGGGATAAACTTCCAAAGTGAGCTAAATGGCTAGTCCTATTGAGAAAAACGTGCTGATCAAGAATATAGCGTTGGTTTTGTTTCAAAACATCCCATTCAGAAATTATAGCCAAAACCGTTTTCGTGCATTATCTGCAATGCACCACAGGGTTGCGCGTGCATGGTATCGGTCACAAAGAGCTAGAAATGAATCATGCGTGCATCACATGCTTGCATCCCAAACAGCTAATCTACTAGCCAAAACCCTCCTTGCTAGCTAGAACCCTAGTCGGCCACAATCTCGACGCTAGCGTGAAACTATCTTCGATCTCAACATCAATTACTACCATCATGACTAGTAAGGGGTCTATGTCAATACCTGAAGCTGTTGCTGCGACTGTGGACAGCAACCACTTGGAGAAGCTGTACTGCGTATGTCGGTTATGTTTCAACAGACTGCCCGTCAAGGATCGCAAGTCTATCGGGCGCGCCCCTACTGACTTAGTCTGTGATCGTTCGAAGCAGTACTATCAAATCGATTTTAAGCGTGAGCTCACAAATCTCACTCTGCCTAAGGTCCTCTGTCCCACCTGCACAAGACGGCTTGCTGATTTTGCTTCCAAGAAAAAAGATCCCGCTGAATGGGATGAGAAGACACGACACTTCGTTGACGCACTCCAACGTGATCACGATTCCATAAAGACTCGTTCGACGGTGTTATGTTCTGCAGACAATCGTTGCCGAATATGCCAGATAGCCTCTAGCAGATCTTCAACTCAAGCCATGCGATCCAAGTCCACCACCCCGGGTCCCGGTCGTCCTATTGAACAGTCCCCGGTCAAGCTTATTTGTTCTAAGTGTGGCAGAGATTTGTTCGACCATGACGATGCTCACTGCCAGGCAGTGCGAAAGAGGCATCGGTCTCACGCGGAAGCCGGTGAAAGGTTCGCAGAGAGAGTTGCTACTAGAGGGCATTCTGATCAGTTTGTAAAACGGAATCTTCGGGCGCTGTTCGATGACCCAGCAAGCTCCTCTACTCAACCTTCGAGTCCGGTAAGCACTGGGGTGAGTCATGGAAGTAATTACTACATGGCTCTAACTCCCATGCCTTACGAGCGTGCTAACCGCTCTTCCAATGGGCCAGTAACGACTTTGAGTAAGGAGGCGGTGCGTGATATGTTACGTGTGGGTCATTTGGGACTTGGAAAGACTAGCGCTTTGCAATTGGGAAGAGTCTTGAGAAATGAAGGCATCCAATTTCCTGAAGGAGGACTGAAAAAGGCCATGGAAGAGAAATGGGAAGTCTTTGGACCGATGTTCACGTACGAACATCTTCTTCTGGAGCGAGAGCGTAATTCAGAGGCTTGCTCCACTCCTTTCGGTCTCTGCACTGATGTAAATCTTCTTCTCAATACGGTCACTGACGGCGAAGCTCATCACATCACCAGGCTCAAGTTCCAGTTTGATGGTGGCCAACAGTTCTTAAAGCTCTCGGTCAACATTGTTAGCATGGAAGAGGGATCCAGTTACGTTGCTAGCCCAAACAGTGTGATGAAAAACTTTCTGATAGGTATGGGGCAAGCTTCGGAAAGCAGCCACAACCTTAAAGAACTGTTCCGTTATCAGTCAGTTCGGAGACTTTTCGACTTGGCTATACCGAAGCAGGTGGCGTGCGATCTGAAGGTTTCTGCGATGATGGTTGGGATCCAGAGTAATTGAGCTACAATATGCACGCGCAACCCTGTTGTGCATTGCAGATAATGCACGAAAACGGTTTTGGCTATAATTTCTGAACGGGATGTTTTGAAACAAAACCAACGCTATATTCTTGATCAGCACGTTTTTCTCAATAGGACTAGCCATTTAGCTCACTTCGGAAGTTTATCCCATAATTTTCGTACAGATTTGCCACCCGTGCTCACTAGAGTGCTATCACGCTTTGACCCGATACTAAGTGACTCACTTGAAGTGAGACACAAAGTGTGACACCTTTGATAGATAAGATACTTAGTAAGTGCACAGGGCATGAACATGTTCTGGAGCGTAAGATATAAGGCGTAATTCCGTAATCGAACGAGAAACGCTATCCCATAACTATGTTTGCTCGATTGTATATTGCTCGTACGAATAATGCAAAATGACAAGTTTGCTAATAACCCCAACAGAGACGCAGTTTGAGCGAGTGAGCAAAACGCTAGTATATATTCCCGCAGGGCGTAAGTTACAAGAGAGCAAATAGCCGAAACATAAAAGTAGCGCAGCATTGTCACATACCGGCAACTGCCAATTTGTGTATTTCATGCAGGAACATCATAGAAGAGCAAACCTTAAAAGGTGCCAGATTATATAATTACAACGCGAAACATATTGAACAGCAAATGAGCACAATTTGGCAGAATAACGAAAACGTGCGGGCGAAGCACACTTGGGCAAAAGTGCCAGCGTGTAAAACATTCCGGGGAAATATACAATGCAGCAAAAAAAGAGCAAAAAGAGCGACTTGCTGGAAAACTCTTTTGGATTTGCTATTTTCAACATTTGGTTGCTAAAACCTATACCAGAAATTGCTAGGTTGTAAATGTGGTTGCTACTTTGTAACTGAGAAAGCAGCCCATACAAGAGAGCAAAAAAGTGAGACTGTCAGAAATTATAGCATTTGGCAAATCCGCAAGATAAGCAAAAAGTTGCGATTGCCGGATTGTATTACACCGGGGCAGTTATGCCGATAGATTATGATGATACAAGCGCCGATAATAAACACCGATTTGATGCTTGGTTTCAATCATATCCGTAGTCGTTCAGGTGAATGGGGCAGTTATGCCAGTAGATTAGGATGATACAAACGTTGGTAATAACATTGATTCGATGCTTGGTTTCACATAAGAGCCACATGTCAGAAGTGTTTTGGGTGAATGGGGCAGTTATGCCAGAGGATTAGTATTGCACATGCGTTAATAAACATATGCGCCGGGAAGGAACTTCCTTCCCGGCTGATGCGTGGTTCTTTGTGCAGGAGCGGAAAAGCAGTGTCCATCCATATAAAATAGTTTTTGCTATCAGAAAACGCTATCGTTCCTGTCTAGGATCGCCTATATCTACTATAGGAAAGTCCACAGAGAAGCTACCTCAAATGCTCTCTAGCCGCACCCACCTTTGCCTGTACGTCTCCAACGGCTTCGGGGCTCTCCCTGCATTCTTTCCACCTTTGCTACAGTCAGCAATGTAACACTGTATGTAACACTGTGAGTCAAAGGGTCTTCGGCGCACAGCAGCACACTGCTCAGGCCGGTGACGGGGACTCTAGAAAGGTCAGACACGTTCGACCTGCCGTTATCGTTCTGAGGACAGAGTACGGCGGGTCATGTACACCCGATAACACTATGCAAGGCACACGTAAAGGCACTGTGTGCCACAGTGTCGGTCAACTTACTGTCTTCTGCGACGCCATCGTCACCACTCTATTCTTGCAGATGCACGAATTTTCTAGTCACTGGCGATCTACTCAAAGCTCGATTCGATAGGCGAATTGAGATCAATCAACATTTTGCTAATGACTGGTATCATTCACAACGCCAGACATGTATAACTATGCTCTTCCAGAGAAAAATAATTTACCTCGCAGTCTAGCCTTCTAACAGTCCTCCTAGTTTGACCATGCCTAGCGAACCAGTGAACTCAGGTGTGGTCTCGACTGACTGGCGGCCCAACTTCAACTTACCATGGTTGTCCGCCAGCCTCTCCGAGAGTCCCGAGGCTGCCGAAGACGACAGCGGAATGATCGATTGCCTTTGCCCAGGACTGAGCTTGAAGCAGAGGGTCTGTTCGTGGATAAACTGTGTTGGTAGTGCAGGGATGTAATTCAGGTTATAGGATGGGCCGTTTGCTTTTCATTCGGGTTACTAACGACGATAGCCTCAATGGGCTCCTTAAAGTGGTTAATGCTGGGCAAACCGCTACGATTTGCACTCGCGTATGGAGGGCTGGCGCCTGAAGATCACTTATAGTCGCCAAGACTGATGATCTCAGTTACACAATCGGGAATCTCTGTGAGCTAGGCTCTACTGTTTTCCTAGTGGGTCCAGAAAGGCAATGGCGCAACATGAGTCAGAAGCATCGGGCCTGGGCAGCTTCAACGTGAGCGGAGAGGTCAGGCCCAGATTCCAATAGGAAGCGCCTTAGATACTTGATCTCGATGGTCATTACCCTGGTGATCTGCTTCAAATGGCCTGAGCAGCGGTTGCTGATCATCCTGTTAGTGATTACCCAGTGCTGTGCAGTGATTTGGTATGCCCTTTCCTATGTGCCTTATGGTCGGCATATGGCCAGAGCCGTCGGTAGCAGAGTCTCCTCGTATCTACTCGAATGATTCAACTGTAATGTTTCATCTCAACGAGACTGCCTCTGTTGATGTGAAGTGGAGGCAAGTGAAAAGGCCTACACATAATCTTGGGACTTTTGACGGAGCGCTGCTCGGGCTCGCTCTGTTACAGGCTTTCGTGAGTTGAGGTTGGTGTTCCCCCGCCATGCCAGGCTTGCGGCTTCTGGCTGCTTCCTTCGCGTTCCCCGCCTTCTCTCGACCGCCGTGTGCGCTCATACAGCAGCGTGGCGTATCCTCAGTCAGAGTGAAGCTGCGTCAGTGGATCTCAGCAGATCCAGATAGAGAAAAGAAACCGTTCGCTGAACGATGGAAGGACCGTATAAACCGCACATATCAGTGGTTCGACGAGCCCAAGCACACCCCCATCGGGGCCGGCTTCTGGTGGCTGCTAACGCATGATGTGAAGACTTTCTACAAGTGGGACTCGGCTCTAAGGCTCGCAGTATTTTCCCTTGTACTCTACTACATATATGCCGCGGTAATTAGGTTTTGGAAGTGCTTCGCTCCGCTCATTTATGTTTGGTCAGTATAAGAACCTCAATTTCAAGAGGCGGGAGAGAATACCCGAGACTCCCCAGCAGAGGATGCAGCGACATCAGGATGAGCGAACGTCTCGTCAGGAGACTGCCGCCTTGCACAATACGTATCAGAATAAGATGCTGCAGGTCTAATATGCTATCGTCAGGACTCGGGGACAGTGGAGTTTCTCAGGAATGGCGAGAGGGATCAGAGGACCGCATAGCGAAAGTCTTGCAGCAGATAAAGAGGGAGCAGGAACTGCTAGAGGAGTGGGAAATCGTAGAAGTTGATGACGAAGAAGATTCGAAGAGCGAGAACGGTAGTCTGTGAACAGTTATTTGTCATGCAGAGTTTCTGTTTGATGTTCCCTCCGTTGAGTGAAGGGTGGTAACGATTGTCGCTAATTGGTCAGCTTTGAGATGATCCTACATGAGATCTTCCCTGGCATCTTCATTGGAGATCAAGAGGCGGCTGATGCCTGTTTGAAGAGGTCCCGTCTCCGCAGTAAACGGGGCATCACGGCAATACTAAGATGCAACGCTGTAGTTGAAGGGGAAACCTTGGCAGAGGCTCCTGAGGGGATCGCTTTCGAATATGTGCCGCTATGGGATGATGGTAAGGACGACATCCTCCCACATGTCGATAAGGCTGTGGGGTTCATGAAGTATTGTCTCGACCACCATGGCAAAGTGCTGGTCCATTGCCAGGCTGGCAGATGCCGTAGTGCGGCTGTGATTTGCGCGTATCTGATGAAGGCATGGGGTCTCGACTTTGACCTGGTCGAAGGGATGGTCCATGAGAAGGAGGAGGACATTGAGGTATCAGAGAATTTCAGGCAGCAGCTGAGGCAGTGGGGAAGCACGTACAAGTTTGACATGAGTCTCGACACAGAGGAGCACCAGCAGTATTGGGCAGGCAGAAGATTGGCTGATTCAACTGCCGAGGGGGCTGTGAGTGAAGAGCCGAAGCAGGAGGGGTTCGACTGGCGGGGGGCTCTCTTCGAGTTGTATAGGGATGAGGTAGGGGAGGAGAAGCCTGAGGAGAAGGTGAACTACCTCCTTAGTAAGGTGGTGAACGCTGAAGAGCCGCATGTGCTTTACCTACGTATCTGTCGAAAGTATAGTCTTTCATTCGAAAGCCGACCGCAAGCAGTGCGAGAGGCAATCCTTGCTTTACGACCTGGGAGGGGGACGAGACGACGACTACGATGTGGCCGGTGTTCACGAACACTGTGTGGTGATATGAACATTGTCCATGGTGGAAAGGAGTGCACCAGCTACTTCATAGAAGTTATGGAATGGATGGTAGACGTTATTAAGTCGACCAACAGCGGAGCGGAGTTTGTCGGCACGCAGACGCTCCTGTGTACCTGTGGGGCCAAGCTGGGCAGTTGGAATTGGTACGGACTGAAGTGCAGCTGCGGGAAGTTCACAGCGCCGGCGATGCAGCTGCATGCATCAAGAGTGGACGACTTGCCGATACGGCCCGGGGAGGTTGTGAGCTTACCTAAACCTTATTATCCTACAGAATGACGTTTCTCTGACTTGGACTGCCTTGGGTTTGGTAAATTAGAGATTCGCCTTTTACTATGAGTTACATTCTCTCCGATATCGGACGGGGAAAACCTCAACGATAAAGTGCATCGTTTGCTCCTAACAAGCGGAACGTGTCTCTCACCATTGGGCTTTGAGTTCATCCGGTGTCGATTGTGATTTCGGAGTGGTGATAAGATGTTTTAGCGCGCGCCCGTGCAATCGATTTCTCTCTTGTTTTCGTGGTGGTCGATGGCTAGAATTTCATTTTACATACCACGCCTTCCTTAATTATCGATACTTTGTGACTCTATACTTGAGCGGGTTAGGTCTTTGATCTAGGTCTTATGACATCGCCTTAACTGCTACTAGGTTAGTACGATACATTTTTCTTTAAAATGACCAAGGGTTCCGAAACCACCATGAACACTCCCCCCAACGGTGCCTCCCCTGCGCAGACTGTGGGTGGCGCTCGTACAAACCTTCTGCATAGGAGGAACGTGGGTAGTAGTCAGAAGGCCGCCCCTGCATCGGGAAGAAGGGTAAGCAACACATTCTGAATGTAGTAGTTGGTCGTAAGAGTCCCTCAGGCTGCTGGGAACTCTATCCTCAAGTTCTACACTGACGATGCTCCGGGTATCAAGGTTGGGCCTACCACGGTGCTGGTCCTTTCCCTAGCTTACATGGGATGTGTCGTGTGCCTTCACATTTTGGCCAAGTTCCGTTCAGTTGTGGCTAGCAGTACTGGTGGCGCTGAGGAGGCCACTGATTAAGACTAGTGGGTTGTTTACAAAGTCTCACGGAGTGTAGCTCTAATGTGAGAACCTCTAGAGACGACTAAGGCGAGGTTGCTTAGCATTGTCGATAGCACTTTTGAAAGGTGATTTCGACACAATTGTTGAGTTGGGAAGTAGTCAATGCCGTACGATATCACCGAAATTCAACAGTAAAGTTTCGCCTTGCATCACCGGAGCCGTATCGGTGAAACAGGTTTTATTGCTGCCTGGGAATAGGAGTCTCTCTATTGTGATGGCTCCTGCATGTCCCTTATGTAGGAGTGAATAGAAGTTCAACGTGGAGATCGTAGATGACCTTCATGTCTATCGACTGCACAAGTTTAATTGCGCGTTTCAGGTAGTCATCGTTGGGAGTATAGGGTTCTCACAAGAGTTGACGAGGGAAGCCCAGCGTAGCTGAAGGTCACGTTGGTGGCTGGCCATGTATACAGTATAGACTTCCTCCTTCATGAGCTCAAAAATTGGGTAAAGTTGATTTGAATTCAGGACTCCCGGGCAACCTTCTGGCAGAAGGTTGCTTTTGGCTGCATGCGTAGCAGAAGGCTTCTGCTACGCATGCAGCCCGAGGACTCCTGTGCTTTGCATGCACCGCTACAGTACATCGCAAAGGAGAGAGGCAAAGCCACATTCTCGTCAGCCTGCGGAAGGCTGCTTATTCGGATAACCTCATTGCCGATAATATCGGCGCTATCACGATTATAACAGAGCAAAAGACTTCTCTGTCACAATCGCTGTCCCGACGACTGCTTTTTCATCACGAATCCATACTGGTGGAGGTACATCAGTGACTGACGCTTGGCTGCATCTGAGAGTGTAATTTTCGATACAGAGAGCATGCTAAGTGCTTGGCTGACGATGTGAAACGATCCTCAACTGACAGGATGGATATGGACAGAGAAACTTGCTGACCACTCGAGCCGCCAAGGAACGCGCCAAGGGAGTGGTGTTCTTTGTACCTCAATCGATGCGTATCGCCACCAGGTTTAGGTTGCGCAAGCATTGCGAGTGGCTTGCCCATTTTCTAGTATCAATACTAGTAATGAGGACATCGGAGATGCATGTCACACTTTCATGGATCGTCGTTTGAGATCTAAACGGCGTGTGCCTTTGCAACCCAATTTCATTATCCCACGGTCTCGTCCTAATGGTCACTTGCTTACTGCGGCTCTTCTACTGACCAACACAACAGATTTGACGACCATAACAACTGATAAACATGCATCTCGGTACATTACACGAAGTACATAAAGACATCATGCTAAAGCACAATTCCCACAAGCCTTTATTAAATAACAAGTAAAATACTTCAACATCGTAGCTCAAACCTCATTGGCCTATGACACCTCTTTATTATCAACAGCTTTAAAGTTTCCGCGCCACCAGTTCATGAAAGGTTCCGCAGCATCAGGAGATCTCCGGAAAGCCATAGCAACCTTAATCTTATCGCTATGTTGCTGATGGAATCCACCATAAGTCTCAACACATGTCGCAGTTACTGTCGCGGCGATGATGCGACCAGATGTATCAGCCTTGCGGTCAAGGAGGAGCTCCTCATCGCACTCGAATTTAACAGGATGATAAGTGCGTTTGCCGTTGCCACCTCCGTAATGCTCATCCGCACGTAAAAACTGAGAAAGGAAGATGAGGGCGCGGCCACAGCCTGGGCATCAGCTCACCTCGATACGACGAGAAGTGAGACGACCATTGAGGTCGAACTCCACGGTAGCTCTCTTCAATGGGTATATCTCTTCCCTTTGCATATGCTGTTCTGGTACGAGTGAGATGTAGTCCACAGTGTGTAGGATAGTAGAATCGAACTCAACCTGATGACAAAGCTACTGGATAGACTCCTCGACCGGCTGAGTCATTCCTCACCTCGTGGTACAGTAGGCCTCCGAATGCATTAGAGAAACCAATGGCCTTGGAAGCCGTGGAGAAGGCGATGGTCACGACTTGATCTTTTTGCTCCGGCTCATCATCATCGTCACGCTTGCCACATGTTAGCGTAACTTCATACCTATTGTCTGACGTGTACTTCGGAGCCTGCGAGGCTTCATTGCAGCTGTACTGGAACGCGCCGCTGAACTGACAAGCGAGCCAAGCTTCAATTCTCCACAACGCTATGGGGTCCTTACATCCAGTAGGTACTCTCTCGGGAAGACCTTAACGTATGCCTCCGTCAAAGCAGCTTGGGTATCGCCGATCATAGTAGCTCCTTCCTCGCCAGCGAAGTACAGCGTGTGATCAAGCCACACCTGCTATGGACAAATTTCAGCAAGGCACAGTTGACAGTGGAAACATGGGAGTTCAACAATAACGAATAGTTCTCACCTTGTCAACAGGTATCTTAGCAAAGGCTCGCGCAATAGTGAGCGCAGCCTCCTCATTGTTGGCAATGAGCGTCACCTTGTGTGACTCCCCCAGGGTGACCTTATCCTGTGAAAGCTCGTTACAGTGCATAGTAACATAGTAGAAGAATTGCTTGAAGTAAACGCGGTGCGCTGCATTAGGGTCGCACTTGTAGGAGCTTGAGCCAATCTAAAAAACGGGAGAGTCGCACCTCTCAACGGCTTCTGGACTTGCCTGAAGGATGCTTCCCTCGTCCTTTTCTCCCTCGGGGCGCGCGACGAACATGCGAACCGTATCGGGTTCCACTTTCGTAGTGTCAAGCCATGCTGCCTTCAGATGAGTATGCAGGCTTTTCAACTCTATATTCGCCTACAGATTGGAAGTGCGACAGATGGAGCGTTGATGTAGCGGAACCTACCGGTTGTGAACTATCCAGAGAGCCCCAAACTGTAGCAAGTTGCATGGCGTTATGGAAATCATCACATAACACCTGATGTTCAATTTATCCAACAAAATGGTGATAGTTACCGCACCTACCTCTACTTTGGTGTTCCCACCCGTTCCTCGAGCGCTTTCACAGTCCACGGTTACTTTGTACTTGTCAGCGCTCCTATCAAGGGCGGAGAGTGGCTCTGGTGAAGAGCCCACGGCGTTGCAGGAGAGCAAAAAGTCAGAGTCTTCGTAACCCGGCTCGTCATCGTTTCTCAGTGTAATCTGTCGAAATCGGTCTCATCCCCGGGAACATGGCCTCCGTACCGTTAACCATCTTTTAAGATCCTGCTCCGAGCCAATGACGAAGGAGTAACCCGATGTCTTCACGAAGCTAGGCCGGTACGTAGCCTACCAGTTTAACATACAACTCGATGGATTCCAACTCACGTGTCACCTTTGATAAAGTGAATGCATTCGAAATACCTTCCTGTTTCACCTCAGCGCAAGAGTTGATCAATCCTTGCTGGAGGGCGATCTACAATACAGACTGTGACTTTCCCAACGTACACGATCGACTTACTGCTGGCTGGTCGATCTGCCCAAACGTAGCTAGCTGCAGCGCCGCAGCCGTGTCCTTGCATTCAAAGTTTAATATCTAAGAGAAGGGGTTGCAAGTTAGGATCTTCCTGGTTTCGTATGATTCACCTCCTCTCCGCACTGCGCACGGAGTACGAGAGTCTGATGATCAGTGGCCTCGGGAGATCCAAAGAAATGTGTGCAAGAGAACTGTTGGGCGTTCGACTCATCAGCAGCCGCAACCTAGAGATGGGAAGTAGCCAGAAGAGAATGAGCCGATACCCCACATCAACGACCACAGTCGTGCCCTGTATGCTTGCTGATGTCAGGTGCATCGATGTCGACTGACCAGAGACTGTAACAGTGTCGCAGGCGCTGCGAACTCTGCTGCCGACTTCCACCTGATGACAGGTAACCACAGGGAAGGATACACCTAGACTCACCACAGCATCTTGTTTCTCAAACAGAGGTCCTTTGCATACCCTGATAGCGTCGAACGGAGTACTGCAGAGCAGTTCCAACTAAAAGATTCGCATCACTATGCATCCAGTCGTAAGAGTAAAATAAACCACCACAAAAAATCAAGTTCCCTGTTTGTCTACCCACATCTCACCTTCTTGTGGGTTCCAGAACTTCCCTCATGGCAGTCAATGCTTATTTCGACTCCATCAGATCCGATTTGTGGATTTTGCTGCAGCCCGTCGCAAGTGACTTGGGTGGAAGTTCCAGCCTTCTCAACCTGCAACTCGAGGATAGAGGATGAACAGAAAAAATACTCCGGGCGGGACTTGAACCCGCAACCTTTGGATTAGAAGTCCAACGCTCTATCCGATTGAGCCACCGGAGCTGTGCGAGAGTGTGAGAGTAACCAAGGCGCTCCGAAAAAGTTATGTTGCCACTTCAATAAGACTTACCACAAAACTCCTGCTTGCTCCTGTCATGATGACGGTCTGTCGTGTGACAGTCCAACCTTCGTCATTTCCCAGTCGAGCGCTCGAACACACTCCAGGATAGAGCTCAACTCCGAGCTGAATAGAAACATCGTAACTAATGCCCCCAGCCTCCTGGTTAGAAAACTGACCTCCGGACGAGGATATGCACCCCATCTCGTGGCGAGGAGCACAGCTGGATCGGAGTCCGTGCAAGTGATCGTGACAGGCTTCGATTCACAAATGACTGATATCTTGTACACACCTTCATCGAACTGTGGAGGGTTCACGATGTTGGAACAGCTGAGCTCTTTCTCTTCTCCGTGGACCTCACAAGGTTGAAATTCCGCAAGACTCAAACGTGCTTGGAAGTGTCTCACAACAAGAATCCTCTTCACTTCACCGGTGCCTGTCTCTTCTCGCAGCCGAGCGTGTTTCAACTCGTGAACACCACCGGTGTCAATGACGGCACTCGGACACGAGCCGATGAACTCTGCATCAGATTCAATCTGCACGAGAACATACTGCGACCATTTCCTGTGATAGAGCACAGCAGTGGTCCCTATATTCGCGTTGTCACTGCTTGAATGTTCTTAATCTTACATTAGCATTGTGCATGCCGCCAAAATAGCGAGCGAAAGCAACTCCAAGTTCTTGGCTGGGAAAGGTAACGTGGACAGTAGATGTTCCACACAAAACCTGCATAGATAATTCGATGGCCTCTGAGGGTGTTGATAGTTCGATAAGGGAGGGTTATCGAGAGACCCGACGCGCCGAGGCCTTGCCTTGACGGTGTACGAAGTGCCTTGAACGGCGATGTCCGATGAGACGCCTTCACAGTTATAGACGAACACTTTGTCGCTGTCGTCATTGATCTGAAACAAGATATCCATTGTGAATTCGAGCTTGACCATCTACAGTCGACCTCACCTCGATAACCCTACTATGCAGAACTCCCGTCGGGGCATAGACCAACTTGGCGATGCTCACAGTTCCTGTGACCTGGCCCTCAACGTTCGCACTAGCGCCAGATACCATAGCCGAAGACATGTGGATCTGACAACCCATGATTCGAGAGTTCTGCTACAGTGGTGTAAGACAGTGAAGTGCAACTGCTACCGACAATGCTATCAACATCTACCTCAGGATTGGCAACATCTCCCCATTTGACAGCCCATTTCACAGCTGCTTCGGCACGCTTCATCGCCAGTGTTGTCTGAGAACGAGAAGACCATCTGCCTCTTGGACGATTGAAAATCGGCATCCTACGTCAGCCGAAGGGAGATACTCCTTTCTCCGCTCAGCCGAGCACTTAGTCCGAATATGAACGTCACCGTTCGTCTGTTGTTCCAGAGCAGATATTGCACCGCATTCGAAGTTAGTGTCCCGAGTCTGCAGACATGTCGTGAATCAGAGGTCCATTAGAAGCGCCATCTTACTGTGAACACCCTCCCCGTCAGTTTCCCAGAAAACGTATCGCGGTAGAAGCCTGCAGCGACCAGATCTACCACGGGTTCGGTTGCATACATCACCCCGACGCCACGAGCATTCACCTGGCATCACACCAATGATCAGAGCAATCACAGATACAGGATAGACCCACCGGATTGTATTGACCCCACTGCATGGCGAAGTCGTATGCTTCGTCCCTCTTAGTAAAGACAATGTCCACCTCGTTGTCACTGTGCTCAGGAGTGGGGACGCGATTGCGAATTGACAGGCCACAGGTGGTGACGACGTGGAATTCGCCTGAATAGCAGAAACACTCTTCATGACTAAAATGAGGGGAGATGGTCATACCGCCATCAGTCTCTCTGATATTCTTCACCCGGGAGCAGACGAACCATTGTCGAGATAGATCCAAATCGTCCTTAGTGGATGTGCCAGCATAGCGGAGCTGAAACGAGAGTTTGAAGGAGTCGGAAGGAGAGGCTCTTACTCCAAGCCAGCGCATCCGAACGTTCTGCGAGGTCACGTGGCTCTCGATGTTAGCCGTGACAAGCGTGAACGGTAAGCGTTTGCCATTGTGGTGGACATCAACACGCTTGCTTGCACTCACTAGACCGAGGTTAGTGGAGACCTATTACGACAATGACAAGATTCCATGCTGACAGGCGTTGAAGGATCGAGCAATTGGAAGCCAAGTTGTTGTATGAGAGTGAAAATAGTGTGACTTACTCCCGCACGGAAATGTGACCACTGGGCTGAGAATCTCCAGGCAGCATCCTCGTCATCGCAGATAATCTTAGTAGTGCGGCCCTGGCACTTGGTCTTCACCACGTACTTGCCGATGCCCCCCTCGTATGATACCGGCTCACTCACGCGCGCACAGCGTAGCATCGAGCCATCATTGGTCTGAATAAAACAGTACACCTGTTTTTCTAATCCCAAGCTGACAAGGCCAACAACGTAGTTTTCTTTCTAGGGGTAGCGGAGCGAAGTTGTGTCCAAGAATGAAAGCCAATGGCTACCTCCAGGCGGCCCGCGGCGATCTTCCTGCCCAGCGCCACGACGTCTGACGTTGCTCTGACGATATCGTCGGGATGACCAGCTATCTCCATCCTGGAACACTTCTCGACAATGTCCGCATCCACCTGAACAACGACCACTGGCATCTAACACTGATAGAGAGGGAAGACACAGACCTTCTTGAAACCACCCCAAACAGCAGCGAACTTCTCTGCACGTTGGTAGGCACCGAATGGTATCGTCAGTAGCTGCTTATCGCACTCCACAACGACATCAGCGGCATCACCCTTATACAGGACGTCAGCTACGCCGCGACAGATTCTTGGCTTCTTATCCCCGAGCTGAAACACGACTCCAGTGTCGAGGGGCGAGTCGCAGAATGTCTTTCAAGTAGTCTACGCGAATAACTCTCTTCCTTGCTCGTCCAGTGGCGGGACTGACGAGGACCTCGGCAGCCTGGATGGTCGAGTCTTTGATCATTCTCGCAGGTATCGGCACCTGAAAGGAGAGAAAACCGGGGGTTCACCGTCACGGCGCCATGAAATTGCTCACCTCCGTCGTATACGCTCCCCATATTGTGGCGAAGCTCGTCGCACTGTCCTTGTTCTTGAACTCTATATCGAACGTTCTCGTCTTTTTGGAATTCTCCTTAGTGCAAGTCACACGGAGTTTCCACTTATCACCGCGGCTACTAGGCCCAGAGGACACCTCTTCACAGTAGACATATGTCTTGCTGCCAATCTGAACGAGATACACTTCGACCAACAGAGTGAACAGCCATCAGAGGCACCTTTAGGTATCTCTCAACCGGCCTCCAACTTCTGTCGAAGTTCACATGAGCAGCAGTCAACTTCTTCTTGAACACAGCAAATCGCGCGAAGGGGTTCTTGCTGACCCAGCCATCGCGCAGGACCGCCGGATCCACTTCATACTGAGCAAGGGTCGTCAGAAATGACCCGAAGGTTGATTATGCATTTACCGTCTGGAGATGACCCCATCGCACGGCAAAGTCTACGGCAGCCTCCTCGTCATTGAAGTAGAGTGTCGTTGGCAGACCATCGCATTTAGTGTGCACTTCATACTGCAGCTCCTTGTTCCTTCTCGGGGAGCTCTTCACTTGCTCGCAAGAATGTTTCGTGAACGTTCCACGGGCTTCCCCAATGGTCTACGAGATAGGATCGTCGAAGCTCTCTACGTAGTCCTAGTTACCCATAGAGTGTAGGGGTAGTCCCGCGTGGACATCGCCTTAGAGAGATGACTTTTCGTCAAGTGTCTCCCCTTGATCACGATACCGGTGCATTGATCTGCGAGAGCGTCCGCGGCCTGAGCGCAAAACTCATACCACTCGTCCGTCACTTCATCACAGCGTACCCTATCCTGTGTGGAACTTCCCCTCTGCACACCCTCAGTAACAAAAATGAGACTCCCGAAGACGAATAATGTAGAGCGAATTGATCCCGTTAGTATGCTATGCATTCAGTAGCTATCTGGAAAAACTAGGGAGAGCATTGGCAGCGACAACCTGTCACAGCGGTACTACAAGGCGACCGAACCCCCTAGTCTAGCCTTGTAGGGCAGAAGCTTCGATATAAGGGGTTCCCGAGAGAGATGAATGATACAGTCTAATTGACAAACGAGACGAGACCAGGGATGGATACATGAAATGGGCCAAAGATCGGGCGCGACTTGCCCAACTTACAAATGCTCAACTTTTCATCATGTAACTCAGCGAGACATAACTATTCTCGCTTCTTGCCACTTAAAAACTTCCTCGATAATGCTTGCACCATTTCACATATCATGCTTAGCTCATTCTCGATAATGCTTTCAGGTCTGTGGATGCTTCCAACTTACATGATAATTCAAATCTCGCTCGCCCGAAGTGCTGGAGGATGTCTTACATACGATTTACCTTCTCAATTTGGTAATCTTAAAATCTATCAGAATTTCATATCGGCTTCAGGAGACAATACCCGACCGTTACACGGCAAGATTTTGTGATGTCGTCTGCCCACAGTGATGATCTCGCGCGTAACTTGATGGGGATTCCGTACCATATTTGTGAGGTCCCCAGCCCTCCACAACAGCTGTGTCTTGCCCTCCCAATTCTTTTATGCTCTCTTTAAACTCGATCACGGCATTCGATCTGGAGCGCTGCAATCACACACTCTGGCATCTCCAAACGGGCAAGGTCCATCACGAAAAATTCACGAAATTGTATTCCTTTTCCGTGAAATTGAAATCGCCACTTGGGGACCGAACTAAACGATCCTCTTTCCGCTTACCCAAAGCATTTATGTGCATCCAAACAATTAAAATACGTTCATTACTCGTGCATGGAAAATTCTTCTGCAAGGGGAAAGTGCCCCTATTCGCAGGTGAATTTCTGAATGGCACAGTGGTACGAGGCGCTTAATAACAGTATGTATCCCGCATCCCTCATACTCTCCACCACCAACACTCTTCTCACCTGTTCCATCTCATAGAGAACAGCTGACTCCTACTTATGGCGTCCCGACGTCTTGACGATGATGAGGTTGTACCTTGCCATTGAACACCACATCACAAGGTTAGCTTCAATACACGAGAACCCCAACAAGAGGTCTGGCCGCTCCTGGAACCAGCTACACCACTTCCTTCACATTATGACTGCTGAGGTGAAGATCATTTTGCGTTCAAAGCTGGGTTTCCCGGCCGTGTCGAGAGAGCACTAGCTTCTCCTCGCTACTATCATACCCACGACATGAGTAGCGGACTTCCTCGTTGAGTGATACTCAACACAATGGCTTCATTGAGAGCTGCACTACGAGAGTCATGAGCGACCCAAGGGCAACAAAACTAAACACTTTGACAACGACGTAGCCCCCGGGCTCCACCTGGCCCTCCAAGGCCTGAGTCACTACCCGGCCCTACCACCTAAATCACTCCCCCCAGCTGACCTGCTAGCGGATCATTGTCGAGGGCAGACAACCGTCATCATGAACAAGACTGGGACGAGTGCAAGAAGCCTGCAAATAGTATTGCGTGTTAGTTCGCCCAGTTGAAGCCAGTCAGACGATACAGGAAATCCTCTAAATTTACGTTTCTCTTACATTGAAGACTACAACAAAACAACACCAGCCGTATAACGTATGAAATTTTCCGAACTACTGTAATGCAAATCGCTGAACACGTATGAGTTCTATGACAGGGCTCCTACTTTACCAAGGACGCAGTGAGAATGCAAATTATCTCGGACCCTTCATCGTCCATTTGATTCGCCATTGACTCCCATCACCTCACGGCAATTTTACAAAGTTGCGAGTTGAGGCGAAAGAAGGAGAAAGAAAACCATCAAGGCTGATCCTGCGCACTCCCCCCACGCAGAGTAGTCGTCCACTCCGAGTCGCGAGCACCGCATGTATCCTAAGACACATATGGTGCTCAATTGATGCTATGATGCAAACGTGTAGAACATTCGAAACAATCCATAAAGAGAATAACGAATATTGACTTGCCAGAGGCAGGTCGGCATGGATATGTCCATCAGCGTAGGGGGCCATCATACTAAAGGTTATATCAGTTGAGAGCCAGGGACAATCACAACTTTTCGATGCCCTATTGAAAAGACGAACACACATATGGACAAACAACAGAGCACCTCGCAAGAGAAATTGAGAAACTTCTGGAAGTGGATGTGAAGATCGCTCGACTTCTCGGGAACTTCGCTCCGCTGCGGAGTAATTTCCGTTTGCCATTTTCATTTTTCCACTGCGCGATTCCAGCGGCTTCTCCTCGACTTCAATAGCGCTCACAGGATCGAGTTTTACATGTGAAATCTAATCCTGGGAGCGCTGTTGACGCTAAGGAGATGTCTATAGAACACGCCGCAGGCCTCTCAATCGGCCGCCCTTGGACCTCGGAAGTACCTGAGGATACCTGCCACCCCCCATGCCCTGACTTATCCTCTTCTTTCAGTTGACATTACCGACGCTATTGCAGCTGAGGCATTGCGAGAATCAACAAAGCACTAAGGCGACTATCGTTGCTCTTGAACCTCCAGCGTGACAAATGGTGCGGTCTGTAACCAAGATGCACTCGTGCATGTAGGCACATTCGCCACGTGAGGTTCGCTACTCTCCGATATCTCTTTGAATACGGAAATTCCTTGTCTGAGGAATTGCACTCTCCCACGCATGATAAGCGTGACAGAAGGGGAGCTCTCTACGAAGATCGAGAGCCACGCTACTATTATGGTGAGACGCAGTTGACTGAATCATGCTAGATGTGCAGCATTTAAAGAAGCTCTGGTTTGTGCCATCTCGAGCGCACCTTGAGCTGAGACAGATGGATGGTTGGAATTTATAGCGGAGTATCAAATGAGAATTGGCGATACCGTGTCGAAGACACACTAGTGGTTGCCCCGAACAGCAAGCCACCGCCTCCTCAAGCATCTTTGGAAGCTGAGATTCGCGTGACGCGAGCCATGGAGGCAAATAGTAGGAATGTCCAACCGTGAACAAGACCTAGAGACCTGCGGCATCTAGCTAGTTCGTATTGGAGATCGCGGCTTACCAGCTGGTATCGGAGGCCAGTTGTAGTACTGTAGTTCTAGTGATGACTCGTGAGAGGTCACTAGACGCGGGCGTGTAACAGTCGACTAGTTTAATTTGGTGTATCAGGCGGAGCGAGTATAGCATGGAGATGGGAGAGGGTCAATTGAGTAGGTTAGCCCCTGGATGATGGGCGCTACCTCGCATGTTGAATGCATTAGTTAATCACGCTCTTCCCAGGAATGAGCATTCGGCCTGAGTCTTTATTTTTTTGCTTCTTTCTTGCCTTGGCCATATTGGGTTGTTAATACTGGATGTACTGCGAAAGGTAGACGCCTTTCGGATCGGTAGTGATCGCTGATGTTATGTTGGTTGTTGGAGCTGAGCAGTTATCACTAGTAGGGAAAGTATTTGTATGCCCGACTATGCGATCTGCTATATCCAACAAAACACGGCCTGTTGAATCTAAGCGTCTGAATGCTGGTGGAACCAAGCAGGTGACTCTGAGATCTCCATATGATGGTAGAAACGGATGGCTTTATAATAGGTACACCAACACCTCTTCACGGGTCTTATTAATAAGACTACTACACGTACTCCAGAGCGACCAACGAGTACTTACGTCGTTTTAGATGGGTAATTGGTGACTTTAACTACGTTGATACGATTATATGTGCAGTCGCGACGTTACGCCGAAACCTCTGAGCGCACCACAGCAGGAGGATCAACAGGAAACCGTACTGAAGACAATGCCGCGGAAAGTTATGGAAGAGTTGAAGGAGGAACTTAGACAAGTGGAAGAACGAAAGCGGCATTCATCGTAGAGAGCTTTTGTATTGAGGTGAAGCTCATTGATGGGTATATCAGGGATACCCCCAAGAACATATCGTTGGGATCGCATTCCCTCCAAAGAGCACAGGTAAATCTCCATTTGCTTTGGGCGCGTAGGCAACGCCGTGAGGAGCTGCTGAGAACGACTTGTTGCAAGTCTTGAATCTCTCGTGTCAGGTCAAATCCCGTGAAGAGCGGATGATAGAGATAAGACTTACGGAGACGCCGACGACAATTCTTATTGATATACCCAGCGTCGCGGCAAGTGAAGGACAGGAGACGTACGACAAGGTAAGTCATTCACCCCGGTTATTCGAAAGTCCTGGTTGTGTCCAGATAATCGCCGAGAATGAGAACTACGAGGCTCTGTTGAACCGCAAGCAGAACGCACCTGATCAGTTCCGAGGACAGCATGCGCAAACTCTGAACTATCCTCAGAAGATGAAGGAGACCTTCACGGATCCACCAGGTGAGAGAGTTGTGATCGGCCAGTGTCAGTTGACGTTGTCGATATGAGGGCACATGGCTGTTTATCTCGTTCTCACTTGTTTATTTCGTTTTTGAGCATCGCTGGAATGGTCTAGTTGGTTATGACGACTGCCTAACACGCAGTAGGTCCCGAGTTCGATTCTCGGTTCCAGTATTTTTTCATTTTAGCAACCTCGTCGCTTGGAGTTAATGCATCTGTTTGGGACATACATGATAGCTTCAGAGAAGAGTTGATTCCGACCGACTTGCAGATCCAGATCGAATGTCAACGGAATGTGGAGGAAACCGTACGATTTCCATCACGGCGTGAGCACGATCACATTCCGATTCTCAGTCCACGGAATCTCTAGCCAAGCCTGGATGTCTACTCGAGACCTCCTCTGAGGCAATCCTCTCCCATGTTGCCAAGGAGACCTCGAGGACCACTGCTGCTCAATCTAAGAAGGGCAGCTCCACGAAGGGGGTAACTAACGCAACTACGTTATGTGGACGATGGCATGCCTCGGTGGGCAGGGCAATCGATCTAGTTCGCCCAAGAAGTTGACTCGAGGCATGGGAGCAGGCAACTCTGAGAAGCTAGTCGAAGAGAGCGCACTCCCCCGAAGAGATCAAGATGGTTCGTGGATCCGCCTGACGTGTTTGAGAATGACGTGATTTTAGGAGTGGCCGTCGAGGATAAGCAAGCAGTGGAAACGGAGCGAGTACGTTGATACTCGCAGTGCATGCGATGATTGCTGCTACTCAGGAGGATACTCCTGCTCTACGATGGGTCATGGGCAGCAACCTATTGATACCTATCGAGCTACGGGAAGCGGCCAGGGTGATGGAGAGAACTCTAAGCCAAAACGAATATCACAACGCCCATCTTCTGTAGACATTCTAGCATACACGGTTTTAAAATCGGCCGTTAGATACCGTAATTATCCAACTCTCGCCCAACTGGCTGAGAGAGAACAGAAGTTCATCGATAGCTTCCCTCTTTCTAACGCTGTTGACCCTTCGGCCAGTCGGAGGTCATCTGCCCTATCTAACAAGTGAGCCCCTCGATAATCAGATTCGATTCCGCGCAGAGTGATTCGGATGAAACCAATGGTTTCGCCGAAATGTGCGCTGATGTTCACAATGGTGTGACCGCTTCAGAGGCGCCCAAGATCCGAACCAGTTGCAAGCTCCATCTCGCCGAGAGAGCGCAACTCCTGAACAATCTGAGGCCAAGCCAGATGTGCCACCTGAAGACACCGAGCAGGAAGAGGATGACACTGAGCAGGATGGTGAAGTTAAGTCCAGCATGGAGGTGATGGTAGCCTCCCTAAGACGATACCTGCTTAGTAGCATTTCCCCAGCACCTCTTCACTTTCGAAGCATCGACTCTAACTCATGGGTTATCTGTAACCAATCTCAAGTGGCATCAGTTCAACCAGGACCTCCTCTGTGCATCCTATGGTTCGTGACGGGATATACAGTGAAATGATTCGCGACGCTCGGCTTCCCTCCAGGGAACTGTGATACCACGTGGAAAGCCTCCGGTGGTGGAGCAGTACTGTTCTGGAGTCTCAAAAACCCCTTCTACCCGGAACGTGCCCTCAAGACCACAGCCGGGGTAGATACGCATTTATCCAGTGATTTCGTCCTTCCTATTTATTCATCAGGTCTCATCCGTGGCATTCAGTGATACGTACCCCAACTTGCTAGCAGTTGGTATGCAGGATGGCGGCCTTGCAATTTGGGACCTCCGTCAGAAAGCCGACTCGCCTGTCAGCTTATAATCCTACTACGTACCTCGAGGAGAGTGGTGCTATGTAGATACTCAGTTCCGCGACGCAATCTGGAGCGTCGGCTGGAGGAGCCCAGCAACGGGGTAGTGGTGGTCAGCATCAGCAGGGTGGAGGTCCAATATCGAACGTAGCGAGCAGGCATACTGATGTGGTGTGGGACATACAATGGGTACAGTCATTGGCTTTAGTGTAGCATCACTACAGTGTCGCTCCCAGGTTGATAGGGGTCCTGATAAGTTCCCGAGGGAGAACCTTATATCGGTCGGGGCTGATGGTAAGGTTATACAATGGGACATGCGGAAGGTGAGACGGCTGGCAATCTTAGGCTCCTACCAGTAGATCATCTTCGGGCATCTGCAGAGGTTCTGTAATGCATCCTTTCTCTGCTAGGGATTAGAACGGGCAGTACTGATGTCCCTGAAGCGATCGGCCAACCCAGATCTCGCTACCAACGTCCTCAATACGGGGGCGCAGGACAGTGGGGGGAGGAGTCGTCAGGACGGACTGGCATTCAGGTGAGCGGAGTTGGAGTGTGAGTGATGAGCTCAAGTTAGGCAAAGCTGCGGCTTCTGTGTGGACTTCTTGAAGCAAGATCCGTCTATGTATTTGGTCGGGACTAGTGATGGGCTGGTCCATCGCTGCTCTACGAGCTATAACGAGCATTACCTGGGGACCTACTACGGCCATGCAGCTGCTGTTTATAAGGTTGCACTGTATCTCCTAGGAGGCCCTGAGCATGCGTGCAGGTGCGATGTAATCCCTTCTGGCTGCCGGCCTTCCTCACCTGTAGTGCTGATTGGACCATGAAGCTATGGTCCACCAAGTCCATACCGATGGAAGCGCGTCGTGGTAGTGGGACCATTAATTTCCTGTTATCACCTCGGACCCCTCCGCATAGGTAGCGGCAGTTATATGGTCAAACGCGCTGACTCGGCCGCCTTTGAAAGAATTGGAATAGCGACAAATACCCCCTTACAGAACTATCAATCAACAGATCTTTGCGATGCGGTATTCTTCGCTGTGAGTGCACTATGGGACTTCCTCAGCTCAGGTCAATGACATCTCTTGGTGCCCGCACAACTCTACGTGCTTTGCCGGAGTGATGGATGATGGCAGAGTGGAGCTGTGGGATATACACAGGAGCCCATTGGACCCCATCATAGTGAGTCTCTGTCCAGCTTAATGCAGCTAGCTATCATCTTTTAAGGTGCATTATCCTGTCAATGACCTCGGACACGATCGTTGGCATCGCGCAGTGTCAGTCGGTTTCGCCCCCACTTCTCCCGTGCTGGTAGCAGGGGATAGCACGGGAAGGGTTGAAGTCATGCGGCTGCACAATTGCGAAGTGGGCGTGTCGATGGTTTACCAAGGTTCAGTTTTGTTCTCTATTAGGTTCCTCAGATGAGCGATGCTGAACAGCAGGAAAAGCTGGTACGTTGTGTTGTGAATCAACAGTAGCATGCCGCCATGTCAGTGTAACATGATGACCTTGGTATTGAGTTGTCGAGTATATTGATACGTTTATACTTGAACTGTTAATTTCTCTATCAAAGCAGGGAGAGAACCTTCGGAAAGTCAATGCGCGCGCTGCTGATACGTGGCGGAATCGTATGATGATAATTCAATGTGAAACCTTTGGTGCGCGAGGGTTAAATGTACAATATTCGAATACTCGATGAAATGTTCCTTTCTCATGGATCGTGCCATGTTTGATACCGCATTTCCTGCGAAGTTGAGAGAAATTTGCAGAGCCCACATGTTCGTCAAGTCGGCGATAACATTTTCCTGTACCGTGGTCACTACGGTAACACAAGTATAGGGCAGTGCAACGACCACTCGAGGAAAGCTCGAATATGAGAAGACATGTTCAAAGTAGCATACTAGTAGAACATTCTTCGAGTATCCGGCAAGATCGATCGCCTGAACAACAAAGTGTTAGTGGAAGATGATGATGTGTCATAGGATTTACTCGATTCTAACACGGAGGCCGTTGATGAAGTGCTTCCGTTGTGATAGGATACGCTCGGCTGTAGTGGAGTCCCCAAAGCTGCAGTCGGCCACCGAATAGCTATGGCCCTCATCATCTATCTAATGAGAGAAAATGGAACTGCGTGTTGATACAAGCAGGATTCATACGATAATCTCGTTCTGTGAATTAAGTTCCCGAACTTCCCCGAATTTGCATAGATACCTGCGGAGATCGCAGGTTCGAATCCCGGCAGGAGCATTTACGACTTACATCAGAATAGGCCCCGGCTTCAAAGCGTCAGGCGGCCCCACAATACGGATTGACTGTGGAGCTGGAATGCGTCTGTAGCGAGCAATGAATTACTCCTCTGTTCCCTATGGACGACCCACCCCTTGGGTCTAGCTGGAGTCATTGGAGCGCCGTTGTTGCCCGGATAGGACTGCTTCGAGGGAGTAGAGTCCAGCACTTCTGGCATAATCGGTGGGAAGGTCTGTCGACGCTGGTCTGGACCAAATATCAGAGGCCTACAATGAAGTTAATGACAAGCAGAATTGCATCGCGTATAGTGAAAGCCGGTCATAGGCTTTTGAAAGCATCTTTCAAAATCTGTCCCGACCAGTAGGAGCTATCCTTGTCCATAACAGTCGAGGAATTCTTATAATGGCGGACGTTCTCGGTGAAGCCTTGTAGAACTGCCCATTGGCAGTCTACTCGCTTTCGACCGGCCCCTCGCAGTTCCAAGCCCGTGAAGACTGAGGAAGGAATATTCACAGCAGGTGCATGGCGAAGCATGAATTGGTACTTTCCTCGAAGTCTTTGGCCATCATGGATTCCTGCAAGTTGACGAAACAATATCCCAGATTTCGTCGGGTACCAGAGTCCATCGGAGCATAGAAAAAGTTCACTCGAATTCCTAAAGTGGATTCTGGAATATTCAGATGAGCTCAATTGATGTACTTTTTCCTCGTTGCTTGCATATTTTGAGGATGAGGTCGACCAGGCCTTCTTGGTTGAGATCGTTAGGCACATTCCTCATCAGTAACGTAGTCCCTGGCATTAGCCACACCAGATCGGCTAACCAAATCAACCACGCTGAATGGCCTACGTTTTTCATTAGGATTGAATGCCATCTTAGCCGATGGCAAGCGTGCTGACTGCCTCGAACCAGGGGTTGCCGGTCCGCCACGATGGTTCTTCCTCCCACTGCCTCCTCCCCATCCTCCCTGGTCCCTGAGCCCGCCATAACAGTTCGACAAGATGGCCGGAGACCCACCAGCTACGACCAGTATGATCCCCCTGAACTGATGCTCGGGATGTAGCAGAGGTGTTACTCTGACTGCCTTGCTTGGGCGTCCATGTCAAATTACTGTAGCGACTCGGAGTCTGCGATGAACCGCTCAGTGAGGAAAAATCAGAATGAGCGAGCCGGGCACCTCAGTTGTGGTAGCAGAGGGCGTTGGTGGATCGATCGACATCGGGGACACGCCCGTCTCAGTTTGGGACGCATCAATGACCGCCTGGGATGCGCTCACTGCCAGCATGTCTGTCCCTACAGCCATAATGATGATGGCCAACAACAGTGGGGGGTTGGGAAAATATGCACATGTTCAACTACATGTGTTGAAAATTACGAGGAGATTTTCATTCGAATATTGTTGGTTTCTGTACACTTCTACCCGAATCCGTGGACACTACTAAAATTAGTGAGGAAACTCCCAAGCTCCGTTGAGAAAAGCGAACATATATTCCAATACTGGCCAGCAGACTCACTGATCTTGGACATTTGCCTTGCGTAGTATCCCAGGACATCGTGAAGACCAAAGTCGACGTTGTCCATGTTAGCCGCCTGAACAGAGGAATGATCTTCCCCTCAAGTGAGTGGGGGATACCTTATCCTCGTCGAACTCAGGAGGGGTAATTACCCCTTCCCTGGGCATCACCCCAGGTAGCAACAAGGGCCGGGCAGGGCCACTCTGCTGTGACCTGTTACTAGCGTCTTGTGAGGGAGGAGTACGGCTAGCAGGACTAGCCGAAACCCCTCCATTGGGTGGGTTGATGATGACCAAGGACTTGTTGGAGTAACGAGGCAGCCTCTGTGATAGACCATAAGGTGCTACTGTACTACTATAGGGACCACCAGGAGGCCGCCTATGTGAGGGAGTCTTATTGTACATTGGGTAGATGACCTCAACTAAAAGTGTGACGATTGACTTTCGATCGTGATGATAGAATCGTCCTCGACAGGACACAAACCTCGACTACATTAACAGCACAATATTCTATGGATGAGAAACCAGGGAGTATGTACAGTTCAATACGTTGATTCAATGAAGTTACTCTTGGTGTTCTCTCATGTGGTGTAGCTCTCGACGGCGACCTGTGGCCTGGCCCACGACCTTCATAACCTTCCGCACTACACTTAGGATGAATACTGCGCCTGAAAAGCAATAGTTATAATAGAATAGGAGAGTTGAGACCTGCCTGCAACTTGATAGAGCACGCCGGTGAACCAGGCGTCATCAGAAGGGCACAAAGCAAGCGCAACCTAAAAAATGCCCTCGTTGGGAATCGAACCCGGGACCTCGAGGTTTACATCGGGTAGGAGTGCGGCAATCGTAGGGTTGGAGCAGACTCCTCTATGGTATATATAGACCAGTGCAAGCAAGACCATCATAATGGTCGGCATTGCCTCGGCCAAAGTCGAGGGAGTGAGGGAGGACAGCAGACCAGTGGACGCTTGGGTGTGACGGAAAATAATAATCCTAAAAGCGAAAACCATGAGCATACTACTCAAAGGTAACTCTACTAACCATACAAGAAGTTCACATACGAATGCGGGTAGAACCGCGCACGAACCAATTACAATTTTGCGAAATTTTTCCAGAATTTTCATATTGTCACCAACATATGAGCTGATGCCTTAGAGTAGTGGATGTGAAACCTAGACCATATAAGAAGTACTTGGTCTTGCCAACTTGGAGTGTAAGGCTAGCATCAACCCCCTTATCCGCCGTACGCAGCATAAGCTCACCATCGCTAGTCAGCACGTGCCAGCATGGACCTAGAATGCACTTCAGGCCAACAACAGGAGTGCTTTCCTCACCGAAACGGGCACCAAGGTGCTGGCGTATCGTTATCGCTAGGTCCTGCTTGTCACTAGGCCAGAGCTCATCTGACTGAGCTAACTTGGTGACCTCCTCGATGACGACCGCGGTGTCGGGAATATAGGTCGGATCGTCGACCTGGGAGGGTGGTCATGATTTCGAGCCGTGTTGGAAATGGCGTGGTACGACCTTGGGTTGCTGCAAGATCTTCACCTTTCTATTTGAGTCACCACCCTTCACTTCAGCGACTATGCCCTCCTCGGCCTCGATCTGTTTGCTGGCTTGCAGACGGACAACCTGTAAAATCCAATACGTACCACTCTTCTGACAAATCCCACTTCACGGTCGAGTATCTCGAACGCTGGACTCCGCCAGCATACAACTAGCAGCTGTGATGCATCCTTGGTATTGCTCCGGAGGACGATAGCCGACTCCTTCTTACGGGACTTGAGGGCGTAGCCGGCCTGAGATTGTTAATTACTACTACTGATGAAGATGGAGTTATCAGGTTTAAACCGTGCGAAATATTATACGTTAGAAATGGACGCAGGGAGAGGGAAATTAGCGAAGTAATCTTGCAGCGCCTGGGCTCCCGACTCGATTTTTGGAGAAGTAATAGACAGATCAGGTAGAAGCTATAACGATTCTGGCGAACGACTTTCAAAGCGAGAATCAGTCTTGAGCTATGTAGAGCTACGCACACCATGCATGGTTATAGGAATTCATGAACTACCGTCTATGAACAAAACGCATATACATCCCGCCAACAAAACCACTCAGTAAAATTTGACTTTCTTATGCAGAGAGGACCGCTGCTGTGCCGAAGTCGTTCATGAAAAAATAATTTCAGGAGCAGTTTGAGAATCGGTGGCATACAGTTCCAGTTTCCAGAATAGTGACGACTACTTTAAAGGGAGGTTATTACCTTAAACCCGACGCAAACATTCCAGTCCTCCCCAAATCGCCGGTCCAATATCTGCTTCATAGCCCCGGTAAACTCCTCGGAGGCCTTCGAGAACTGCTTACTCCGATCGGCCAGGGTTTGGGCGTAGACGATGTCCGCTGCGGAACGCACGAATTCAGTCTTCTCTCGAGAGCCCAAATCGCTGACACGCACGCGGAAGAATTCTGGTGTCTTATCGGTCATTCAGAGTAAATAGGGTGAACTGGAGAACTCACCCAGTTTGTAGTTCGGTCGCTCCCAAGCGAGTTTGAGCGCGACGATTAAAGATGAGTCAAAACCTCTACTATTTGGACGTTTTCACACGTGTAACATCGTTTTGTTATCATCAATTCCAACCATTTCCAACCCTTGTCAATGACCGGTTGCCATAACCCTCTATGGCAATCTATTAGAGGTAGCTAAAAGCGGGAATGCACAGCCCATCGCCAACCAGCAACGATAGTACACCTTCAAATAACGGTGAACCAGCCTCCGGTAGCCTAGCCCCGCTCGAACAACCAAAATTCCATTACCACCAGTGTCGTTAGTTAAAGCGGCTCTCATCGTATTTTGCTGTGATAACTGTCGTATCTGCATAGGAAGAGTAAGCTGAAATTGGTGGGCATGCGAGAGAGTTGGCAGACTTGGTCCATCCGTAAAAATACTATTACTATTCACGCCTTACCGGAACCGTCAGGATATCATCTATAAGGGCCAGATGTTGAGCAGGTGAGGAAGGAGGTATCTTCTAACACCCCACCCATCGGAGCTCTTCTCAATTGCAGGCTAGCTCTTCTCGGCTCGGTGAGTGAGCTCTTGGGAATGGTCCAGGAGGGGGGGGTATCGACACTGAAATTAGCTCATGGTATTGACGGAGATTCGTAGCAGTTCGTCCTGGCTCATTACATCGACGACGAAGCGGGCAAGTATTTGGTCTCTCAAGAGTAAGAAGGCTGCCGTCCCTTCCATGCCCAGCGGGTCGGCACAGCAGTGGTTGGTTGCATTGGTGTCGCTTGGATATCACTTTGATTTGCCATGGAGGCCCTACTACGTCTACTCAGCTGTCGAACACTGTTACCTTCAGGATGCTTCAGACAAGGAAGGTTGTTCCTTATTTGGACAGCTACACTATGTTTCAGTTGGACTTGTACAGATCTTCACCTGAAGAACTCCGCGACTGTCGAGGGCAAGTGGGATGCCGGAGTGGGCATACTCCCCAAGGATACCGATCTAAGGAGTATTACACTCATGCTGAGGTCTTGGGACGGAACCGTCCTGCTACCAACGATTGTGTGCCTGATGTTAATGCGATTATTTCTCTCCAACATATGTCGCGATTCTGTGTTCGTTAATTTGTAAGTAATCGAAAGAATGCCCAGCTGAGTTTTCGTATAGATAATGGAGACTCCTTCGGTAGATCACAGCCTGATAGTCAGGTGGGTACAACCTAACGAGAGCCATGACTCTTATCAAACTCTTAATAGAATCGCCGTCCCTGCCGTTGGCGCCGGATGGACTCTGCAGTGTAAAGTACCCGATACGAAAATGGCCGAGGTGTGGTATCATCAGCTCTGTGCGGCTAGGCGCTGTTGTTAGGTTTGTGACCTGATTACCGCAACTAGCAAGAAACTGCATGAGCAGTTAGAGGCCATCGGGAGCACCTTCGAGGACGAGACACTGACTGACCTGAAAGAGGACATTACTACTAAGACGGCTACGTGGAAGGGCGAACTTCACTCGACTAAGTGAGTCGCTTGCCAGCTCGGTTTGGCTATGATATTGACACTCATATCCTCATTAATGAAATCTGTCGAGCTATTATTATGCTAGGACGGCTACGACGACAACGAGTGTGGAAGACGCATCCACGGTGAAGGTCGAAAGTTACTCGGAGTCTGAACTCCCTGAGAATGCGGCACGCATGGTGGAGATGGCAATACAACAGGCTTCCACAGAGTTCAAGGTGGGATAGAATCGTTCGCTTGTTACCAGTGTTGTGTCCATTCAGTCGAAATACGGCCAGGCTGTCGCAAATCAGTCGAGGCAAATGTCAGAAGCCCAGAAGGAGCTGGAGCGATGCCAGCGTCGGTGCCGATTCCTGATGGCCAAGTTGAACATCCAACAAAGGTAAAGGACAAGTATGACCCTTGGTGTCTTGGAGGTCACCGCTCAGTGATGCCGAGATCGATGCCGCTATTGATAGTAGCTCCCATTGGACCCGTGCTAAGGTCGCCATCCTCATGCTACGGGACTCAGCCAAGTTGTGGACCCAGTTGCGTGGTACACCGAAGAAAATCCACGCGGAAACCCGCATACCTCGTGAAGTAGTCCTCGAACGGCTAATCGAAGGCACTTGCTTACCTCTTAGGACTTGCAAGGAGGTCTACTCAGTCGTAGAGGTGTCTTTGGTTATCTCAAGTTGACGAAAGGTGTCCAAGCTGGTAGAGATTTCTCTGGTGTCTTCAAGAACAGCGGCATGCGTCTTGAGCTGCCCCCTGGCAGTCCTCGGCCGCCTCCTGCGACTCCACCGCCGAAAGAGCCGCTACCAACCATCCCACTGTTGAAGATCTCAGGCGATCCCCCACAGAAACCTGAGCGCGAGAAGCGGGAAGCGAGCGAAGAACGAAATGACGAGGGTAAGGTGAGCGTAAGACGAAAGCACGCGAGTAAGGCGCACGAAGAAATGCTCACATTTGATTACGATAAAATCAGAGGCAATTTATCAACGGTTTACTACGACCAACCGAGCCTGTTGCAATTACTCCGAACTAGAAGCCCGCGTTTGAAAGAGCCAGCGAGAACACCTCGAGCAAAGCCGCTACTATCATCTGAGCCCCCTCGGTGGCAAACTTTGGAGCCGCCGCGGGGGTATCCAATGATTGGAAAAGAGACTACGGAGATCGATCTATCCTACCTAAGTCCACGGACAAAAGTGAAGGTTCCGCGACCAGAGACGACCGAGCAGAGCTTGCGAAAGCTGTTATCATCGCCGAGGGCGCGCTCCCGGGAGCCTGTGAAACCGGTGCAAACCATTTGGCCCTCAGCTGCTAGCATTCGTGGTGGCGGTTGGTCTCGGTGGAAAACCGTGACACCGCGCCCGACTAGGCCTAGACGCAGTGTGGTGGAAAACTGGGGTGCTCGGCCACATCTGTGGCCAAGGAACTCACCGGAATAAGGAAGGAAAGGGGGAAAGAAAGGAAAGAAAGAAAAAAGGAAAAAAGAAAGGAAAAAAGAAAAGGAAAAAGGAAGAGGAAAAAGGAAGAGGAAAAAAGGAAGAGGAAGAAAGGAAGAGGGACGGAAAGGAAAGGAAAGGAAAGAAGGAATAGGAGAAGACAGGGAAAAGGAAGAGAGAAAACAGTAGAAAGAGAAGTCCGAAAACAGGAAGAAAGGAGATGGAAGCAAGTGAAAGACTCATTACAAAGGAAAGAGAACTTTTTTCAAGGAAGGCTCCGCGCTTGTGCCGCACGTAATGTGGCACAATTTGCGCGGCGCATAATCAGCATGCGCTTCCGAAGCTCAGCTTCGAACCCTCAGTTCTCACTCCAAAGGGAGCGAATCTCAAATGGTTTCATCCGAGATGAACCCTGGTCATCGGAGGCAGACGGAAAACCGGGCTGAAGTTTGGCCGCTTTCGCATGATATGGTGAAACTCCTGGTTGTGCAGGCGTGCCAACTTTTCTACAACGCATGCGTGCAGTGCTCCTCCTGCAACTTGAAGTTGCGTGCGAATGGGTCACAGAATGCGATTGAGTTGCAGCGATTCGCAGTCAATAACAGAGCCATCACCGTCCTCTCTCCTTAGTTGTGTAATCCTAGTAGTCCGCTAGAGTTATGTCCACCGCTCCATCTAAGGAGATACTCCAATGCTATTATTGTGATTATAAGGCTAGGAAGGATAACTTCCGCCTGTATGATCACTTCAATAAGCATCACCCAGGAATGCCCGAGAGATACAAGGCTGAAAAAGGACAGCGCGCCTTAACGGATATGTTTCCTAAGAAACGTACCTTCAGTGAAAGGGAAGGGCAGGAAGGAAGTAATAGAGCGTTTGCAATAATGCGGCGCGATGCTTCTTAAATACAAGAGGGTATCCTCCAGTTCATAGTGTAAGCGTTACATTTCAGATGTCCATGGCGGGTCACGTGGGTCCCGTGAGCCTGAGGAGCAGCCTCAAGTTGAAATTCCTCCGCCCGAAGCTTCGACTCTCTATCAAGTTGCCAGACCGACTCCTATGCCAGTTCCCAGGCCAACTGTACCGCCAAAAGCCCCTCCAGCGCCAGAAGCTCCGAATCGTCCTCAAGCGCAGCTTCCTATCACCGCCTACAACACTGCAGGGTTGGCAAGCTTCATGGTCTCTCAATCGGAGAAGTTAGATCTGCTCACGGCTAAGGTGGCTGAGCTTCTCTCTAGAGATTCCACTCACCAGCGCGAGATAGATTTTCGTAGACGCATAGGCGGTATTGGCCCCTTCAAATTAGACGAAGGTAGCTTGCGTGTCCGCTGCACTATCTGCGACATGCATAAATGGTCAATACCGCGCAATGAGAGACCCGCCAACTTCGACCGTATCGGTGTATTCTATCTGGGTGATGAGCTCCCGCCTCCAGAACGGCAGAGAGATATAGTAACTTCACTGAAGAGGCATCTCGAGATCAGCACCCATACAAGATCAGTCAGTATCGGTGAGTCTGGTGTTGCTACGACTAGAAGGAGCGAAGCTTTAGCCGTCGCTCGTACAGCATACTTTGCTGTATGCGAAGGTCATAGTTATCGCTCGTTCGAAAGGTTGTTGGCTTTACAGGCTGAAAACGGAGTGGGCTTTGGTGATAAGAATCATTCGCGTACTCATTTCTTACCGGCTTTCATCAAAGCCATGGTAATGGAAATTAAAGCGAGAATGATTTCGGTGTTTATGGATGAACAGGCCTGCTTTGGTATGCGTAGCAGCCCTATAGCAGCAAGCTGCGACAAGGTTACAGTGCAGCGTCGGACTCTACAAGCTACTTGTGCTATGGTTCTAGTTCGAGGCCGTGTCGTCGCGTATTTATTATCAGCACCAGTTGCGGCTGATAAGACCGGCGATGGACTTACTGAGCTCCTTTTGACTACGCTCTTAGAGTTCGGCTTCGATGAGGAGCTTTTGCGAAATAACCTAGTAGCGCTGGCTACAGACGGCGAATACCATGGTCTCCGCGTGGGTGGTCGCTTGAGTAATGCACTGGGGTGCGAAGACGAGCAGCTCTATCATTCATGGTGTATCGCTCATCGCATCGAACTGGCTGTCAACGATAGCCACAAAGATGCGACGGATCTCAGAAGTGTACTCCATCCGGCTATGCCATCGAGGCATGGATACGCTTACGAGGATCTGCGAGATGAAGCTGCTCGGCTGGGTGTCAAGTTTGCTGCTCCTTTGGCGTTCTCGGCCACACGATGGGCATCCAGCGAAGCGAGGGTATATCACAACTTTGCCCAGAATTTTAGGGCCATTTTGAGCCTTGGAGCATATCCACAAGTTTCAAAACTCGACTGGCTCTTCAAATTTGCCGTCTGTTACGATGTCATGAACGCTGTTACCGCCGTGTCCTGCACCGCCCAGACTGTGAACAGACGTCCGTGGCAAGTAATCGCTGCTGTGCACGGGCTCAGAGATACTCTGATTGTTGCGACCGCTGAGTTGGAAGCTCTTCGTGACGCTGTGAAGCAACTTCCAGATGCTCGGGCAAGCCACATTGGAGCCCTAAATTCACGGCATTTCGACATTGACGCATTGCCTACTCTTAGTAGCATCAACTTTGTTCAGCGTAGTTGGCAAGGTGTGGAGCTACAACCGGTGTCTCCTTGGTTTTTCGAACTTGCTGTTCAGTTCTGTATTGACTGGATGAAGCAACTGACGTCGGCTCTCACGAGACGCATACTACGAGAAGTACCGGTCTGGTTAGAGGCGTGCTGCCAATGTCTCAGTGGTGAAGCGCTCTTAGGATCGCAAGATGAAGGATGTCTACGGCAGGACGACCGCAACCTCGACCAGTTCGGTCTCAGAGGCGAATTGAGCAAACTACGCTCTGCTGAGGACTATTTTGGTGTAGTTGCTGAATTCGTTATGAGCTTCAAAACACAGCTCGCCGAGGCTCCGGGCATCGATGGACTGAAGGAGCAGTATGTTGAACTCCGTGATCGCATTCGCGCAAATTTCTTACCCATCACAGCCGGGGAGAAAGTTGACATGGATGCTATCTGGAGCGAGGTTCATACACAGGTTCGTTTGTACCGTGGCTGTGAGGATTGCTTGTATGCTATAGCTTGCGTAGCATTGAAGACTCATTGTGAGAGTGTTGTTGAGGCTCAATGCTCAACACTCAACGGGTCTGATCCTCGCAGACATCTTGGTCATATGGGTCTAGCCGAGGAGGCGCTATTGGTCTGGAGTAGTATGGGTATTGCAGCCACGAACGTGGATAACTTTCTTGCTGCATCCTTGGAAAGGATGCCTGAATCTTTCAGCGGATTCAGGCGCCAACGGACTTCTAAGTTCTCGCAGAAGAAAGTGGTTCACTCGACGGTGATCGATAGAGTCCTAAAGACCTGTCCACACCCTGAGCTCTCCGGGCCACGCGATTTTCATCGCCCTCGGCTCGCGGGCTTCCGCACTGGTGCTGCAAATGTTAGAGCTGCTCCTGCTGATAATGCTATTGAGGAGGAGAAGCTTCCGGATTCTGAAGGTTCATCGTCTGAGTCTTCATCCCTTTGATTTTTCATAATATTGAAGTTAGATTTTATCTTCGAAAGTGTTGACGCGTTGAAGTCGTTGTCAAATAGAAACTGTACCGTCGAATGTTATGACGCCGTCATAATGACGGAAACGTAAACGAAAAGTTTCTACTGAAAACAAAGGAAAACTAATGGAATACTAACGAAATCAAAAACTTAGTGTCGCGAATCGCGAGCTGCGACTAGCAACAGCTAAGCATTGTAACAATTTCAGGGAGTACTTTTCAATTAGACAATGCTTGATTCGCCAGTACAATTCGTGCAGTGCACGCCGTACATACGATATGAATCGTGTGTAACGGAACGACAGCAATAAGTAAAGAATTTTTGTAAAGGGCCATTGATATACAAGGAAGGAAGCCGAGCACAGTCCAGGAAGGACATACATTTCCACCACACTGCCTAGACGCGTTCGTTCGAGCTCATCAGATCGACAGATGCCGAGCCGAAGTTCAATGCTGAAACCGACGGAATGCAGCAAAAGTCGTTCGTCAGCAACGCGCAACCAACCACTCGAACGCTTCAAATCCGACCCGTTCGACTGGAGCAAACGCAGCATGTTCGCGGCGACTCTCGGCCCGGCACCAGGACCTGTAGTTAGTCTTGAGATACCCGAGTGAACACGCGGAGGTTGGCCTTCCCTGATGTACTTAGTTGTCAGCCTCATCTTTACATGTGATACAGCACGGTAGATTTACCAAATACCGCGACAGTTGCCGAGTTTCCAATCTCTACGGCCAGGGAGTGTTATCAGTTGCAGTGGCCCCGGCTATATTTCCGAACATCGCCACATGTCTGCCGCTGAGGTCCTCGAGTCCACATCGGAGAGTGCCGAGGCCGGCAACATCAGTGTCGTGGTACGTATCCGGTCATGGCCAGGGAACCAACCGGGCGACCCTTGCATCGGGCGAGAGGGAGATAATACTATAGTTATTGCAGTAGGCGGCGGATCATGGTTGTCGCTTGGAAACGCATTGGGGGGACTCTGTTCAGGCTAAGGCTGGCAGACACAGTAGCGTCAAAAGCTTTACCGTGCACCAGGTCTTTGACAGCAGTGATCTGTCTAATGCCACTTTGGCGAGTCAGGAGGCCATCTTCTCAAAGGTTGGCACTAGGATTCTCCAAAACAGTAGGAGTTGACCACGGATCAGCACGATGACGATCGCTTATAGGTCTACGAGGCTTCAATGGCTGCCTGTTCGCATATGGCCAGACGGGCTCCGGCAAGTCGTATACCATGCATGGTGATCCTGTTAAGTACTCGAGAGAGTATCGTGGTATTATACCTAGGCTCAGTGAGAGCCTATTCACTGCTGGGCAAAGCTCAGTCAAAGACGTAGGTGGGAGTGATGTAATTGCTTCGTCCGAGAATCCTGTTCCGTGTCCATGCAAGACTTGTGTCGACAGCTCGCCAGCCCTAAACGTCATCGTTGTATAAAAACCAACTGATGTGTTACATAATGCTGAGTGAACGTTGAGGGTGCCCTGCCTGGGTGACATGCTCTTGAGTATTTGTTCCGGAGCATAGTTCGAATCTTTGGTCCTGGGCATGTTTTGAATCTTTGGTCCTGGGCATGTTTTGAATCTTTGGTCCTGGGCATGTTTTGAATCTTTCCTTCTCTCAGCTGAGGGTGTGGATGTCATATCTCGAGATCTACAACGAGCACCTCAGAGATCTTCTAGCTGTGGAAGACGAGTAGCCTCTTTCTGCAATTGCCTCGAAAATGTCCTTCTTGTCTCTTCCAGTAATCGAGACCTCACCGTTATGGAGCATCCAGGCTTGGGGGTCTACGTCAGAGATCTCACAGAGATTCTGCTGCAGACTCCGGTGGAACTCGAGAAGCTTCTTCAGCGTACGTTCACGAGAAGAGCAGATTGAGGCGATTCAGTGCTTGGTCAGTTGGTAGCAGACGCCGGGCGGAGTCGGTCACTTGCATGAACCCGCACTCGAGTCGTAGCCACGCAGTATGCAGGATTCGTTTGGAGGTGGCTTCTACACCAGAGCTTACAGAGAACTAAAGTCGTTCATCTCAGTGTCGTCCGTCAGAGGACGGGCCTAAGCTCCGCTCGTGCATTAATTTAATCGATCTAGCAGGCAGTGAAAGACAACAGAAAACCAACAGTACGGGCTCTGTACTGAGGTAAGATTCCTCGGGAGTCCACAGCAATTGAGGTTGATATTCAGAGAGGCCAACTCGATTAACCAGAGCTTGAGCACACTGGGTATGGTCATAAAGCATTTGACGGAGCGCGGCCTTGGTGCCTCCAGCAAAGGTGAGAAATCTCGTCATCCGGTCTCTAGGGAGAAAACATTTTTCAATTAGGTTCGCATAATGCTGCTGCATCGTCGTGGATTCCATTTCGCTCCTCTAAGCTGACCTTCCTCCTCAAGGATTCTCTCGCGGGCAACTCCAAGACCTTTATGATAGCCTGCATAAGCCCATCACGGTAAAGAGCTCACCTGCCTGGGTCAGTAGTGGTTCCGATAGAACTGAGCTCGACGAGAGCGTTTCCACTCTGCGCTTCGCTGCTGCCGTACAGGAGGTACGGGTACCCGCCAAGGTCAACATCGACAGGAATGAACAGCTGCTCAAGGATTTGCAGCAAGAGGTGACAATTGCGTAGCGCGTGACGAAGTACCATTTGCCTCGACAGATCGGTAGCCTACGTCGCCAGTTGCAGTCACAGGAGTCTAAGAGCTTGTCATCCGAGGTGGCGATGTTGAATGAAGAGTTACAGGAGAGAGAGCGGCTCGTGGGTGACCTCAGGAGGAGTCACGAGAGCCAAGTGAGTTGAACACTTCCTGCCCACTATAACCAAATACCAGTTTCCTCTCAGCTGGCAGCGTCAAAGGAAATGTTGCGACTGCGTGAGTCGGCCCTAGCTGACAGAGGCCTCTCCTCATCTGAGATCAATGCGGTCTTCGGTGTTGGCGATGACACACCGTACATGCTCAATGTGTCACAGGACCCGATGCTATCGGCCTCTCTCATCTACTACTTCCAGCCCGACACTGTAAGACCCCCTGCGGTGAATTGTCCATAGGCCGACTCTCTTGGTCAGGTTACTGTTATAGGAAGCTCTTCTGCTGAGTGTCAAATGGTCCTCAAGGGTATCGGCATGCCCTCTTCACTTTGCCAAGTGGTCAACCATGCCAATCAGAGGCTCACCATAGCACTAACGGCCAGCGGGGTCGAGGCGGGAGGCCGAGTCCTCGTCAACGGCAAAGTGGACCTCCTACTGTAGAGATCCTCAAATGGGGCTGGAGTCAGGTCCTTCGTCCTGAGGATCCACCACGACGTTTACGCCACCTTGACAGGGTCATATTCGGCCGCGCCCACTGCATGAATTTCATACTCCCGAACTCACCAGAAGCGAATAAGGTCAGCCGGGCCGTGGCGGACCGAGCGAACATACTGAGTTCTTCCAGGCTGAGAATGCTGATGCCCAAGGTGCTCGATTCGATGATTTCGTCAGGGAGTTGATCCATGATGACTCCAGTGAGGCCTTCCAGGTGAGTTTCAGTACGACAAGCCGCAGTACTGCATACTGTAGGAGCTCCGTTACTATATTGAGGAGGTCAGGAACAAGCTGGATGAGGAGCGGATGGAAGAGTTTCTCGAGGTGTGGTATCGCTTGTGACCGATCTCGCTGGGAGCACCTGAGCGATCAGGTCCTTAGAAGCATCTGCCCTCTGGTGGATGAGGCCAACGATATGACAAGCGAATTGCGGCCAGATGCGAACTTGAGGTCAATTGCATATGTCGTGACCAGGGGGAACCTTGTGCGACTAGGTTCGAAGTGGAACTCATCTGGGACGTGTACAACTCACCAGCACGGGACTTGGTCGTCATTCGATTACTCCAGTTTCACGACTCTGAGGAAGAGGACAACGGCATCCACGCTACGGTGGGGCGGTGGAAGGGGCGGCGGTCTGCTTCTACTGAGAGTCCCACAGGTCCTGTGTTATTGGAGTGCCCAGAGGTTCCGTCATCAACTCGACGTGATGCGAGATCTCTATCACCGTGTACAGATGGATACCGTGGAACGTCATGGTGAGAATCATTGCCTCATCGCCTTGCCGTGCAGCGCGGGTTTACACCGTCAGACGTCCGAACTGGTAGCTTCTTCAACACTATGGAGGGTCGCTTATTGGATGCGTGGAGTGACGAGCCGGCTGATGTGAAGTGAGAAATTTGGTGGTAGAGCTTCGTCAAGTCTATATCAGAACATTAACGGAGTTCTCCACCAGAGCCTCATTAAACAAGGAGATCGAACAACTGAAGGGTTCAATCGACAACACGCCTGCTACCAACAATACTCGTCGCAGAAGATCAACGGTGAGATCCTCAAACGTCTAAAGAGGGACTTGTGTATTCCTATGCAGCTCCTACACAGTGTCACAGGGACGACGCAAGCCATAGTGCTTTCGTCGCCTGAGAGAGGGAAGGAACCTCCCGCTGCGGTCTGTTCCCCCGGTCATTTAGGAGTCGCCGATTCTCTGTGGTTCAGGCTGTTAGCGCACCAACGCCCAGAAGAGCGTCTCAACAGTCGCCAGAGTATAAGAATCTTATGAGGAAAAATGAGGAGTTGAAGGCATTGAAGGCGTCGTTGGAGGAAGAGAACAGGCACTTGCGAGAGGTATCTCTACTGTGGCTGTAAGCTGTGGTCCATCTCGACATTGGCTTAGTTACTATCACTGAAAACCACGTCGTCACAGTCTCCACATGAGCAGCCCCTCGCAGGACCCGAAGCGTTGCCACGCTCGAACAGTTGGACCGACATGGCAGTCTCTCCTGAGAGGACGAGCTCACACACAGTCTTGGCAGACGTGGCAATCTCAAGGCTGTTGCCGACCTTATTCGATGGAGTACCTCAGTCTGTACATCCTCCAGTAGAGGAGCATCCGAAGACTACAAGTGGCGAACTATTGGTACCACCATCAGCGTCGAACGCCGGGCCGCCCTCGCGATACAGTAAGTCATAGCTTGCTGAGTGAGAGCGCGATCATCATGCTCAGGAACCAAGCTTAATAGCAGATCTCTCGAGTTACCAACAAAGGATGTCCAAAGTCAAGGACCTCCCCCTGGCCTTCCGCCTCTAACGCAAATGACGAGGCTTTCGTCTCAAACGCTATTCTCGTCGAGCTCCTCGCCGAATTTGTTCGGAAGTAAAACCGTTAGAAGTGGCGTGCCACAGCCGGCGGTGGAAAGCCGTCCTCCAACTGCTGAGGGAAAAAGCACGAGCCCCGCTTAGTGTCAGTACAGTGCATCCCGTGGGCTGGTCCCTCGGGGTATAAGGTCTCAGAGAGAGGTATTGGCAGTTGACTGGAGGTCCCGCGGGCTGAGGTCACTTTAGGTATCATTGGCTTCTTCGGGGCAATTGGTGAACTCCCTCTTCGGTGGTCCAGCACAAGCCATGGCTATTTCGATCCTCGCAGACGAGGATATGTAGGGCATTCAGTTTTTTCTCCGAAGAATGATCGCCGTGTACTTGTATAGGTAAAGTATTCTGATTTCGCACGCCTGTTGGCGGCTGCGACGAAGCGAGACTGGATAATGACTCCCAGGGGTGAGTTGTATTGCATCGATAAAGCGTTCAGTCGAAACCTCCTACAGGACGAGGGCATGCCGCCCTTGATACTCTATTTGGCTGTGATGACGAGGCGCTTTTCGCCAATCTTGACCAAGGGGACAAGGGCCTCCTGATAGTGCAGGTAAGTGAGGTTTTACATGTCTCTCTCTATGTTCATGCAGGACTTCGCCTACGCCATTACGTGTGCTCGTGCCTGGGCTTATGGTATGGCGATTCCTCCCGCGCCGGAGGTTCGGGCTGCTCAGTAGCTACGCTCTATCTAGTTATACTCATGTTCTCTGTTATGCTCGTTGTGCGGTTGTTGTTATAGACGCGGAAAGGATGTTGCGTTGAGTACCTTGATCGTAATCATAATACAGAGATACAGTATCATTCCTGCTTGGGATCGAGTGATTCCCGTGGCAGCCGGAATTATAAGGGTGAAGCTAGAAAGAAAACGAGTAAAAGACACAGTTCCACAAACACGTAGGGTGAACTCACAAATGATTCCTCTCAGTAGTTGTCAAGCGTGTGCACGTCATGGTTGGTAGATGTGACGTTTGTACAGCCCTATAAAAAAATCCTCATAACTAGATGAGGAATTCTCACATGAGGAGGGAACTCACAGGCTTCGACTCACAGGGAAAAATCGAGCCTCTTCTAGAAACTCCCCCCGATACGGAGATCATGGATGTCTCGCTGGCATACTGAGCACAACAGGCGATTGGCTTGGATACAAGGGCTGATTGAATGCGAGCTTTCAGAGACAAAGCGTGTAAAAGCTCGTGCGAATGGGAAAGGTAAATATTACGACTTCTCGAAAATTAATCGCGACACTCCACACAGGGAGGGGCGTGCCTCAACGTCTGCATGAATAGAGAGGATAAATGCCAAGGTCAAAGCCGCTCAGATTGACCCGTATGGCCCCGTCGAATGTCAAGTTGGTGAGTATCGGGGGGGCGAATGGCGCGGCAATGTTACTGGCCAGGGCTAGCAGCTTGGTGATGTCTGTGAGCTTGAATTCGCCGGTTGATGGAATGTACTCGTAAGGAACGCCGGTCTTACTCCCCCAAGCTCTAGGACCATGACGAGGACGATACGAAGCTCTGATGTCGAAGGTTCTCGAGCTTGTTATGGTGAGGTTGACCGAGCCATTGCCGAATTCGGTGTGAGGAGCCGCACAGTAGCTACCAGATGGCGCAGCACTCAGTAGAACGCTCGTTGCTAGGAGACCGGTAACGACAGAGATAATGGCCATTAAAAAGGATTTCATACCTGATGCGATAGGATCAGGAATAAGTTAGCCATCGTTACTGTCTGTAAATAGGCGAGGGGCAAAGTGAAGAGACGGTATTGCTATGCCTCCATAGATTCTGCGACGCATATACCGTTATAGGTTGTACTGCGCCACTTGTGCGCACGTGAATGATCTATTTACCACAGCTTTTCCTTATTGCCGTGTACGCAAGTACAATACTGCCTCTCGGCTCAACTGTGCTGTTGTGTTAAGCACAGTTTTACGGGCCTCTAGAACAACGGTAAAGAGGCGAAAGAACATGAGCTAGGTAGTCTATGCAGTTAACGTACATGTATTGTAGTAGAGCGTTTTTAATACCTATTAATGGCCCTGCTGAAGAGCGTGAGTGATAGGGGTGACATGTCACTAGCAGAGATAAACCGCTATCACAAGGTAAAGCTGCTATTCCAAACTTGAACGGGGAGCAGCTGGCGTCCTTCGCGTGGCAGTTGCTATGCAGTTCAACGCAACACTACTTGATTCCAAGTTTTTTCTTTTCAGGCTCCAAGGATTCCATTGTTTTCATGGACGAAGCGCAGGCTTACTTCCCACGTACTGCGCAGTGCATTGCGAACCACAAGCAGTGACTGAACGACAACAGCATAATGTTGTCAACATTACTAGAGGATCTTTGAGATCAAGTGTTCCACAGAACGTTGCGTTTCTTGTTGTCCTCCGAGTTTATAGTGCTCTGCCATGGCCTGCTACCTTTCTTCGTGTGTCTACGTTTACGTGCCAACCTACACGTGTCTCATCATCGCGATTCGCGATTGTCTGAGGTAGACATCCGAAGACAACAGTAGTGGAATGGAGTGCAGGGGGGAGGTTCTTTAATCGAGGCTCAAAGATCCTATATCAGAGAACGTTCACTCATGATGTTACCCAGAGGGATATTTCTGGGGTGCGATACAAATCGAGCGCCGAGTCTGCGCGTGAATGAGTGTTGCTGGACGCGGATTGGGTATGCTACATTAGCGGTGGCACGCAAGTACAATATAGACGGTGCATTAACATTCTGTTGACCCCTTTGTTATCTCCGCTACCATAAGCACAATTACTAAGTGTTGGGTCGACTATGAGGGCGATCAGTGGCAACATGAGGACAGCCCCTACAGTGAGCCCCCAAATGACGCCTTTTTGGATGATATCAGAGTGTAAAGAAAGCATCTATTTGAAGTATTGTAATCGGACTATTTTCCCTAAAGAGCAGGCACTTCAGTTCAACCTGAACTGAACTGCCTGCTTTTTGAAGTGCCTGAGCTGGTCGGGCAGCTTGTGAGGCTAAATATAACTTACCTGATCTGCGTCCCTGGGACAATTTCCACAACAAACGAATGCAGTCTCATTTTCTCCACCCTTTGAGAGTACAGACTACTCCGGTTCCAGAGGCAGTCGAGAGATTAAACATATGATTTCGACTGATTATGATATCGAATGCGACTGCTTCTCCATGATTTCGCAGTCTGTGAATTCTGAGAATCTATCGACCGTAGCTGGCCTTTATCTCCGTGAAGAGATAAAGGCAAGCTACGGTCGAT